GAGTTCATTTTCTTTACAGTAGCTACTATGAGGCTACGTTTTGGATTTGCACTGAGAAGAGTATTGGTAGGCTGTGTGTTTTTTGTTGTCGCTAAGGAGTGTTTGTACCCAGTCAAGGACTTCTTTGGTTTCTGGTGCTGCGCCTGTGTTCCCAACTATTTCTCTACAAGACACTGGGAGGGAACACAGGCAGGACAGCTAATCCAAACTGACCAAAGGGACATTCCATCCCATAAAACATCATGATCAGTATATAAACTGGAGGTTGGATCAGGGGTGAGCTCGCTCTCTCTATCTCACTCTCTCCAGCTCTGGCTCTCAGTCAGTTGGCAGATGGTGAGCGCTTGTATAATTTATTCTCCTTTCCATTGTTTTCATCATGTATTATTGGTATTGTTAGTAGTATTGGTATCATTATTTTATTTCATATGCTTTCAATTATTAACTTGTTCTTATCTCAAGCCATGAGTTTCCTTGTCTTTTCCTCCGATTCTCTTCCTCCACTGGAGGATGGGGGGAAGTAAGTGAGTTGCTACGTGGTACTTAGGTGCTGGCAGAAATTATACCACAACAGTACATTTGTGAAACCTCCCATGAGATCTCGTATAAAATGAGCATCTCTTTCTTCAGCTGAATGCTGTACATCATTACTGCAGAGTATGCTGATGGCATAGAGTCTTGGTTTTCTCATTTTTAGATGTTTTTCAAATAGGGCCGAGGTTTTACACAACAGGAGCCCATTTGTGTTTTCCAACAGCTGCAGAATTGAAGGAAAAAACATCTGTGAGGCCACCAAAGACACAGGTTGATTTCTGTGAGAATTATAATCCCATTGCCTGTATTTAGTCCTCAAAATCTGCATTGTGAAGTCTGCAGGGCAGCTATCCTCTCCTACCTGCTACTGGACCACGTCTTGCTCTGAAAGGTGAATGGGTTGCACCTTGATTGCACAGAGAGTTCATGGCCTCTCTGCTGAAACTCTGCCCTGTTTGCTGTGGCCTGTCAGCCTTTCCCTTAGAGGGGTTCTAACACAAGCCTGAATCATCATTGTGTGTTACACCATAGGGCAGGACTTCAGGGGAGGCATTAGCAATAAGTTTTTACCTATCACACTAATATATCTATTAATATGTCTTACTATAACAACTGCATTGTGTCATCTTTACTGGGTTTTGCAAGCACTTGTGCAACTCATTTTTCACAGACAGCCTTGTGTTCTATCTAGCTGTAGGTATTCAAACATCTCAGCTTGTTCCCATTAGCTTCCTTTAGTCTTGCCAGAGAGAAATAGGAACTTTTAGAAGGTAATTCATCTGTTTCATCATAAAACTATTTTAAGGTGAGATGAGTCATCTTCTCAAGACAGCTATTTCTTTCCAATCGCTAGAAAGGGAGCACAAGATAAAAATCTCAGGCTTTAACTAACTTCTAACCAACAAGTTAACCTTAAACAAATTCAGACCTAAAGAATTAATTCTTAGACTCTTAGAAAGAAACAACCAGCATTTGTTTCTAAAGGATGGGCTAGTTCAGTAACAGGGAGATGTCTCAGCTTCAGCAGAGCTGTGAGTGAGACCCAGTCACCTAAAGGGCCTGTCAGCCCACATCTGGATGCTCAGCAGTCTCCTGGGCTGGGATGTGTCTCTGCAGGAGGAGCTGCACAGCAGTGTTGCAGAGACTGCTCCAAGGAACTGGATCCCACTGAGGTAAGGCTGAGCACCGCAATCGCTTGGCTGTATGACTGTAACAATGAGGAAGTTTGTTCTGTGCTTATGTTTCATAATAAACCAGCTGACTGGGGACTATGGCATGGTGCCAAATGCAGAGGTGCAGTTCATACCTGCTGTAATCCCAGCCTGCCCTTCACACTGAATATCATTTAGCAACCTTAGAAACAATGTCATGGAAATGAGATCCAGAAAGAAAACCCTGTATGCTTTTTCCACTACCTGCGCAGCCTGAAAGGCATGTTACCCATAGAAAACATATTTTGCCAGGCTGTACCTTGACCATTTTGCTTCTGTCGAACACAATATATTGCCAATGCTACTCCACAAACCCCAAGAAACATTACGAGGATGATGATGATGATGATGTTAATCTTGCTCTTTGTGCCAATTGAAAATTGAGGATTACCTGCGGAGAAGAAGAAAGTAAGAGTCACAGTGAATCAAACAGGTGTGCCAAAAAATGAGCCTGCCTCAAAAGAACCAGCTAGGAAGAACTGGGCCTGGTGCTTCTGCAATGTACCCCGCAAAAGCTGATAATGAGAGAAGGAACTGATGAAGCAGGGAACAAACAGCCTCTGCCTTAGGATATCTTACTACCTGTAACCAACAAATGACTCTATCAACATTTGAAGCTAATCCCTGACTCTCTACCACAACAGATAGCTTTGAATAACTCTCTCATCCGAAATAACCCAAAACAAAAAAAACCCCAAACAACACAGAAAAAACAAAGAGCCATGCCCCTTTAACAAGGACTCTCCTCAGAAAAGGATAAATAGTGTTTACTTGTCTCAAGCAAAGATGCCCTGTTTGCCCCTAACCTAAGGAAGATGACAGGGCTTTCTATAGTGAAAGAAGTTTGGACATAAAAATAACTGTATGCAACAAATGTCCTCTTAGCCTGGAGGTGAAATTTCATTTACCATTTGCTGGCAAGTGGAATACTTGGAAACTTGTTGCGCGTGTATCACCTACCGCCTTCCCTCAGCACTCCTATGTCTACAGCTATATAGCTGCAGTTGCAGAAAGCTATACCTACCCACCCCATGTAAAACTGTTCATATCAAGCTGTCTGGGCAAAACTCTCTCAAAGCAAAGGGCTAACACACACAAAGACATTAATCTAGATTACCTTCAACAGTGATATTGACTGTTGGTGTTGTGGTTTTTTCATCTGACTCTTCAGTGTAACAGTTTAGCGGAGTGTTGGGCACTGAGAGGTCTGTCTTTGCTCCACAGCAAATTTTAATGACGTTACCCCTCACATTTTCTGAAGAAGCTGAAAGATAAAAGAGGTTTTAATTATAAATAAGGATCATTTATAAGATCTTTGACCAAGTGTTAAAAAGGATAAAGAGGTTAATAGGTCAAAAAAGTGGATCCTTCTTACACCCCAAAAAATCAGAGATTGCTATAATCATATATAATTCACTAACTGTTCAAATCAACCAGTCATCATTTAGATTTTCTTCTCACTAAAACTGATGAGCTGTTTTATGAACCAACAATGGAAATCTTAGAATTTGAAGATGACAAAAAAGTTCTCACATGCAATTAAGAACACCAAAACATTTGTAAAAGCTTACCTTTTTGTACTGAAATTCTATTATAAAAAATAATTACGAAAAAAACTTTGGACCTAACATTTACCCACAGGAACCAAAGAACAGGCACAGGGAAGACCAGCAGCTGTATAAAGCTCAGAGACCCCAGAGTGCCTCTCCTGTCTAGCCTGCATGCCACTGTGCCATTATAGAACTTATTCCTCTTCTAAAAGGTGAGAAATGTAAAGGCCATTATCATCAAAACTTCTTCCTACCTACCCATCCCACACTCAACACATCCACCTCTTGAGGGAGAGAGGCATCTGTGTCTACAGCAGTTTCCAGTTTTCACTATGGATGTTTGTGGTGGGCTGACCCTGGCTGGAGGCTGGGTACCCACCAAAGCCCCTCTATCACCCCCCTCCTCAGCTGGGCAGGGGGGAGAAAAGGCTCACGGCTCGAGATAAGGGCAGGGAGAGATCACCCAGCAATATCGTCACGGGCAAAACAGACCCAGCTTGGGGAAAAGTTAATTTATCATTAGTCAAATCAGAATAAAAGGAAAATTAACCCAAATGTTAAAACACCTCCCCCCCACCCCTTCCTTCTTCCCAGGCTCAAATTCACTCCCACTTTTCTCTCCCTCCTCCCCCCAAGCAGCACAGAGGGATGGGCAATGGGGGTTGTGGTCAGTTCATCACAGGCGTCTCTGCTGCTCACAGGGAGGATCCCCATGCTCTGCCCCTGCTCCGGTGCGGGGTCCTTCCTATGGGAGAGAGTCCTCCACAAACAACTTCTACACAAGTCCTTCCCATGGGCTACAATCCTTCAGTAACTGCTCCAGTGTGGGTCCTTCCCATGTGGGGCTATGACTGGATTTGGCTCGGCCCTGGCCCGCAGCGGGGCACATCCGGGGGCGGGCTATGACTGGATTTGGCTCGGCCCTGGCCAGCAGCGGGTCCATCCTGGAGCCGGCTAGCATTGGCTCTGTCAGACACAGGGAAGGTTCTAGCAGCTTTGCACAGAGGCCACCCCTGTACCCCTCCCCACTACCAAAACCTTGCCATGCAAACCCAGTACAACGTTTCAGTGTCATACAAGCTTTACACAGTGGTAACAGCATGTAGATATTTTGCAGGGATAAGCATAAATCCAGGAAAGAATTCGTTTACAGTGATCAGAAATTAAATACAAAAGGAATTGTTAGGCTGAACAAAATCACATGGAGGTTGAGAATTTTTTCGTTTTCTTCTGTCAGCAATAAGATTAGAAAGGATGCTCTAAGTCTAGCAAGACAGATGCTGAAAGCTGTTTTCAGAGAATCATCTACAGCCAGGAGGGCAAAGCCAAATATATATCCAATCAGATGTTAAATGGTGAAATGTCACTGACTTGGATGGAGTTCCATTAAATCGCACTTGTGCAACCTGATCCAGCACGAAGCTTTGCCCTCTTGAAGCCACTTGCTACCTGTACTGACAGGCATTTTTATATCTGAATTTGACAGTTTCAGTAGAAAACTGGAAGGACACTTCCTGGTTATTTACTGAATCGTACAGAAGAGCAACACAGAATGGCTCTTTAGGCTAAATGTGGATTTCAGTGTGTACTGACTGAAGTAGATGGGATTTATACATTGCAAACTGGCACAGACTCTGACCATGAGAATTGCTGTTACCAAAAAAACCCAAAAACCAAACAACAAACCAAACCATGAATTTATCTGAATCTCCACTGCTGTATTTTTAAGCAGTGTTTCACCTGAGAGAATTTAATTTGGTTTTGTGAATGACTTAATGACTTTTTTTCACAAAAGAAAATAACTTTGATAAGTTACTTTACTCATTAATCTCACTGTCTGCCCAAATGTATACAAGAGCTCAGTTTCATAACCAGAAATATGTTTTCCACATGTTGACAACCAGGTTCCTAGTAGACCGACCATACCTTCAAAATTCAGGATGCCACATGAGTCTCCTACCCCCATGGCTTTCTCCCAGAAAATGGCATAAATTCCTTTAGGAAAAGTATTTTCTTGATGAAAGCACATAGTGATGACCGTTTCACTGGTCACCAACTGAATTACTTCATTTGAAAATGCCTTATCTTGTGTTTCACCAATTTTTTCAAAGTCTTCGTAATTGGATGATTTGCACATGCTGCTCTCACAGTCTTTGCAGTGGTAGACCGTCACATGTGTTTTGCTAAAAGGCTCTTGTAACCTCTCAACAGAGCCATCACTGGACAGGGCAATATCTAAATGAGAAGACAAAGAAAAATTATTTTCTACCAGTTTTCTCCCCAGACTTTTAGTGTTAGAGAATGAGATTAGTTTTGATGGACAATCCCAGTCATGGCTTAGGAGACATTATCTGCCAATGGACAATTTTTATACGTCACTGAGCCCAGTCCCCAAAATAATTTTTAGGCTAGAAATATGACATAATCCCCCTGCTGTTGCCACTGGGGTTTTAACTAGGAAGCTGTCAGCTTGGGAAGTGACTTGAAAGACATTCCTTTTGTAGAGCTAAGAGGCCTCGTCTGAACAGACAGGCTCAGACGAATCATCCGTTCTTATTTTCTTTCTTCCAAAATTCCTTGGCAGAATCCTATCAGGTATATCTCCAGCAGACATCCAGATCCCAGCAAAAATGAAGTTCACAGCTGATGTGACAGACTACATAGAGCCGCATGCAGCTGCCCAGGTCACTGTCATTGATTCAGACCAGTATTCCTGCAGGCAACAGTTCCACACCCAAGCCAAAATGCCCCGGCAGCCTGGCTGAAGTGTGCTTGGGCTGCATGCTGAGAGCTGACAAAGAGGTCCTACTCATTCAGACTGCCCTGGTAAAGAACCAGTTCTTCGAGCGAGGAGCCACTTCATCTGATGCCAGGCAGATCCAAGCAGTTACTCTTCCCAAGTTCGGTGATAGTGACAGGTCAGATGAATCAACCTTCACCTTCTTAATTTCTTTTCTCACCTTAGTGGTTTTGTGGTCTCAGTTTTAACCAGACACAACTGAGCTTTTTAGTAATAATTTAAAAGTTTTTAGCTACTAACATGCAGTGCAAAGCAACGAGCTCAAACCAGCAGACTCACCTGGACGGGGAGCTGCAATGGTCAGAGACAGGAAACATAACAGCGTGAAGTGGGGAGAGTCCATCAGGCTGCCCTGCGTGCTCAGCTCCAGTGGTGCTGGATGATCCACGAGACCTCCCACGATCCTAGGGCAGGCTCACCAGGTTCCTCCCTCAGTCATCTCCCTGTTTGGACATTAAATATAGTGTTTCAGATCCATCATCTTTCTGAGAAAACTATCTTTCTCCAGTCAAAAAGAAAAGAACTTCCAGTCCAAGTGCGTAAAGCTGCTTCTAGCCAAGACAGCTGGAATGCAGGCAAAGTGACACTCATGCTGCCCTGCTGCTACTGCGCTTTGAGGCAGCTTTTGCAAATGCCAAACTCACAACCCTTTCTATCTCAAGCTCCTCATGCAGTGGCCCTGCACACATCACTCAGCTGTACGTGCAACAAATACTGTCTTGACCTGCTACCACTTCCAGACTAACCCTAACCCCTAACCCTAACCCTGAACGAATGTTTTGCTTGAACTAAGATGAAACACTTATTGTGAAATTGAATTTTAATTTTACTTGGAAGATCAGATGGGAAAAATCTGTTCAAATTAATTAAAAAAACAAACAAGCAAAAACAACACACACACACAAAAAACCCAACCCAAAACAAAACGCACCAACCAACCAAAAAAAATCCCCACCAAACCAAAGAAAAAGTTTCTGTTTCTTTTCAAAAGATGTCTTGGATTCAGTCATACATTCATCCTCAATCATTTAAAAGAAACTGTTATGAATTTGCAAAATATGTTCTAGTAAAACACAAGTTTCACTTTCCAAAGGTGAAAAAAAAAAATATCTGGAAGTCTCCCCTAACTTTCCTCACTAGCCTAGCTCTGCTAAACACAAACAGTTTTGCCCTTAGGGGTTTTCATTAGAAGCTTTCACCAAAACAACTTTTTTTTGTCTTTGTATGTCACTACCTATGGAGTACCTTGGGGAAGTTTTAAAATTTATTATGCATTACTTCTTATTTATGCACTGATTCTTCAGCAGAAATTAATAACTGCTCGTCTCTCATGATCTGGACTAGTCTAGAGCTGCTGAGAGTCCCACCCTGATTCCCAGGAAAGGATGAGACCGGAGGAACATGACCTGCAAAGTGAGCCCTTTCCAGCTGCTGGCAGGTGCAGGAGGCAAGCTTTCAGACCATCTGCAGAATTCCCTGTGGAATAAAATGTGGGGCCCCTCCACAGTGCCCTGAGCTCTCAACACCCCCACATAGGGCCCAAGCAATGCTGGACCGAGCGGAGGTCCTAGTGCTGCACCACACGCACCCACAAAGGTGTGACCCACCCACTTCTACTTCACACCACAGCAGGGACCAATTATTCCATTTCATGCACAGTGCTCCTTCTTACCTATACAATCTTGTAAGAATTTCTTCTTGCCCCACCAGGTATTAACACCACTCACATCCAAGGAGTGCAGCATCCCTTCTCATCCTCTTTCAATACATGTAAAAATAATTCCTGTATTTTTGATTTTGGGTGGGGTTTTTTTCCAAAACCACATCAGTCAGCACCATTTCACACAATACTCACTTTATCCTGTTTTCTGCTTTGCAAAGCACCCATTAACAATGCCTGAACCCCAGTCCCCTGTGGGTGAGCAGAGTACCAAGGGACTGCCATCAACTTTAGAGCCACAGAACCATTTAGGCTGGAAAAGACCCTTATGATGAACAAGTCCAACCGTTAACCCAGCACTGCCAAGTCCACAACCGAACCATGTCTCTCAGCAGCACATGTACACATCTTTTAAATACCTCCAGAGTATTATACCTCCTTGTCCTCCTTGAAGCATGTTTGCCAGCCTGATGCAGTCCTCACAGACCAGCTGCAGCACATCTGGCAGAGTTACTTGCCCAGAGGTTAAGGACAATAACTGCTTTTTTCCCCCAGTAGTTTTCAACCTAAGGTCTGTATCTTCTGTCCTCATTCATTCTGTCTTCTCTTTTGTGGTCTTCTTGCCTCATCCTTGCCCATCCTCTCATTCTGTTCAAAGGACATCTCCCTATCCTGGGCTGTATCCAGAGCAGTGTGGCCAGCAGGGCGAGGGAGGTGATTCTGCCCCTGTACTCTGCTCTGGTGAGACCCCACCTGGAGTGCTGCGTCCAGCTGTGGAGCCCTCAATATCAGAAGGATATTGAGCACTTGGAGCGAGTCCAGAGGAGGCCACGAAGATGCTCAGAGGGCTGGAGCACCTCTCCTATGATGAAAGGCTGCAAGAATTGGGCTTGTTCAGCCTGGAGAAGAGGAGGCTCCAAGGAGACCTCATTGCAGCTTTCCAGTATCTGAAGGGGGCATACAAGGGTACTGGGAGAGGACTTTTTACAAGAGCCTGTAGTGACAGGACAAGGGGTAACAGGTACAAATTGAAAACAAGGAGGTTTAGATTAGATATCAGGAAGAAATTCTTCACAGAAAGTGTGGTGAGGCACTGGGACAGGTTGCCCAGAGATGTTGTGGATGGCCCATCCCTGGAAGTGTCCAAGGCCAGGCTGGATGAGGCGTGGAGCAACCTGGTCTAGTGGAAGGTGGCCCTGCCCATGGCAGGGGGGTTGGAACTAGATGATCTTTAAGGTCCCTTCCAACCCAAACCATTCTATGATTCTATGATTCCTCTTCTCTCTGGTGACATTCCATCCTGCTCCCCTCTTCATTTTCTAAAGCCAGAACACTCTGTACCAAACCTCTGTCCCCACCCACTGGTCTGTCTCACAAACCTTTCTGGCAGGTTTCTGAGAGTCTCCAGTGGTCTTGGCCACCTCCTGCCATCAGTTTTAAACTCACTTTAACAGTAAAATACTCAAATCTAAAATGAAACATGCTCTTTCGCTAGAAAATATATTTTTCTATTAAACAAACAAACAATCAAAGCCTGCTTGCCTTTTTTTTCAAGGCAATACAAACTTCTGCTTTTCAGAGCTACAGAAGTTGTCCACACAGCCATATCAAAAAGTGGATCCTAAAAGTGAATCAGCTGCGAGCAGAAGATGAGTAAATTAACAATCGGGAGAATCTGGAGCTTCTTCATCAAACAACAATCACAGCAACTGACCAGCTTTTCCCCAGGTCAGACCTGAGCCCACAAACAAGCCAGCCTGAGATTACTGGCAAGAGAAAGTACATTTAACCAGAAACGGAAAGTTGTAGAGCCCTAAGAAGGTCTTTAGGTTTTGTTTCAGAACGGTCTATTTGAGTAAAAATCACTATCTGAAACTCTCCTACTTTTCTGTCTCCCATAACTTCATAGCAAACACAACACAATAAACAAATGCAATGTTTGCCAAGTTAAAAAGAAACTTAGTCATTAACGCAATAGCACCACTTCCACCAGAAAAAAGGTCATCTCTCAAAGTTAAAAGTTAAGGAGCTGAAAAATTCTGGATAGACACCGGCATTTTCCTGCTCCAGCACAAGGTAAACCGGTTCACTGCCTTTCCAGTGTGGAACCTCAGACGTAGGACTGCTGCCTCCAGCACAGCTCAGCTGAAGCTGTCACTTCAGCTGGTAACCCCATGGCGACAGGCACAGAGCTGTGCCAAGAGGTCGCACAAAGTCCTGTCCAGAGGAGATGGCAGAGCAGGGCTGCTGCCCTGCAATGTACATGCACTTCTCTCTCCAACTGTCCGTAAAGTGCAGTCATGGAGCCAGGAGATCCAGTGCTATTCTCCATCTGCCAACACTGCATTTTCCTGCTCGTCCTCTCTCTCCTCCAGCCATACATCCCAGGGATCTATAGCTTTATGAGCATCTTAGTACGTAACACCTGCATGGTCTGGCAGAACTGCCTTGATGGAATAATGCAATACTTTTTCAGAAAAGATTTAGCTGATACCCTAAGTATCCCATGGAGGGGAACTTTGGTTTCAAACAGTTTGCAGCAAGTGGTACTACTGAAGGAAGTAAGGAAGCAACAAAATAAAACCCAAAGAACTTCAGAAGGTCCTACCAATTTTGTTTTCCACTCCCAAGTCTTTTCCTGGAAAAGGCATAGAATTTACACAAAAACTAATATTTTTATTTTTTCAGTATCGGTTTCACCTTGTTGATCTGCTGAATAGCACTCTCAATGAGCTTTTTGAATTAAAAAAAAAAATCACAGGAAGAGATAAAACAGCTATTTCCAGAGTGAGCCTGAATGCAGTTTGTCTCTGCAGTTCCAGCAAGCCAGTGCAGAAAACAATCAGCAGGACCCTGTGCTTGAGCCGAGAAATCTCTGCAAAATCCTAAAAGTATGCTGCTTCCCAGTAACTGCTCTTAAAAATATATTCCGCTGCAACCATTAGAAAAGACTACTAACATTTTGTTTTCTGCTTGCAGCACATTAAGACAGGTAGAATGAACTGTTTCACTGTTTAATTTATTTTCAAACCAGTATCCCTACTAAGGTAGATGAACTGTTTCACTGTTTAATTTCTTTTATTTTCAAACCAGTATCCCTACTGACCTATGCTTTTGGTTTGGGTTCTGTTTGGTTTTGATCCGAATCCAGAACCATCTGGGTCCCCACAGGTCTCTTCTGGGAGCAGAGCAGTAGCCACCAGGAAAACAATGCACATCAAGCTCCAGCTTGGGTTACAGCTGCTCACTGAAAAGGAGGAGAGTTGCAAAGATTTCTACTGCAAGCCTCCTGCAAATTATCCTTTATTTGCAGATATGCCAGGATGTCAATTCTGGAAAAGGGGATAGAAGCAAAACATACTTATGGAGATGGGAGGAAAAACAAAGTTAATTGGTTGTGGGAAAAAATCATTTGGGAATTACATAAAGATGAAAATGCTCTAATAAACTTATTCTATTACTTCCGTGGTCAGCCACACTTACACAAAACTCCACCACTTAATGAAGCTGTTGGTTTTTTGCATTCACACAAGCAATGTGAAAGCAGTGCAGAACTGTATGAAAGTTGGCAGTCAGGGCTGTAAAAAACATTGTTATTTATTTAGCAAGATCACGCGCACAAGGTATACAACTTCTTCCTTATGGGTAAAACATGAAACACACTAATAATTTCCTCTCTGCTG